GAAAGAGGAAAGAAAAGAAAGGCACAAGAAAGCATAAGAAATCAAACCTACTACAGAGAGAAAGAAAAGAAAAAGGAAAAAGAATGGAAGGAGTATATCCAAATTTTACATATACAAAGGAAAAGGAAAGAGAAAACAAGACAGGAGAAGTTGTTGATACCAGAAGACACATTAAGATGGAGAATTAAATTAAATGGAAATATAACGCAACAAGATAGAACATATTTTAGATACATTGTAGCATTTAGATACATTCAAACTTTATAGCTTTTTTTTAATGTGCTTTTTTTCTTTTATGGAAATTTTTATATATTTGTTTCTGTACCTTCTATGTAAAATTTTTGAATATGTAAAAAAGAAATTGTTTCATAAATTGTGTTTTTAAACAAAATCATTATCACCAATGCTAACCACCTGATGAGATGTCTAAATTAGACATCGAAACAAATATGCATTTTTGTCGTGGTAACTTGCATATTCCATTGTAACGGTTTATAATAAATATCTATTGCTCTACTCTTGTATTGAGCTCTATTTTAAATTAATGTTACGAACATTTGTATTTGATTCATTCTCATTGCATTTGTGTGTGTATGTATATATATATATATATATATATATATATATATATATTCAGTACTTTGGTAGCATATTTCATTTGAGCATGTCTGATTAAACAATTTAGACATGTGTTTGTTTATTTTTAATAAGATCCTTTTGTAATCATGTATACACTTTATCAAATAGAACATAATGTCTTCAAATAACCCTTAACGCATCTTCTATATAATAAAATGCATTCTAAATATAAACAAGATAAAAAAAAATCCTAAATACTAATATATCCCCCTCAGATCTCAGTAAAAAATAAAATTAATTATATACTAAATTTAATACTACAAACTTTATCATCTTTAATAACTCCTCCCCACCAATTGACGTATTGCAGAAAACCAACATTATATATCAATTTAAATGTCACTTGGGAGATTGCATCTCCAGCAAAAAGGTTAATATATATGTTGGTCATTTTACAATAATGCTATCAAGACGGCTTACTCTATACAGGAATGATTCATCCTCCATTACACAACATGCACAAAATCATTCCTGTCCGCATTAACAAATTAGAATAATATTAGCCAAAAATACCTAGATGCTTCACCAATAAAGTAATAAAAAGAAACAAATTCTCAAAGCCATCTTTATTAAAAAATTAAAACCAACACTTAACAAAATAAATGAATATAGTACAAATGTTCTGAAATGCTTATACCATATAGTTCTTTATAAATATCTACATCAAGACTAAAAAGTCTTTTGAAAACAAGTAAACTACAATCTACTAACAAGAAATCAATTCTTAACTAAGTTACCTCCATTACATTAAAATGTTTACATTATGGTCAAATTTTAAACATCACCATTTGTGACTTAGCGCATAACCAGAACTGTTAATGGTTTAACCACAAAAGAAAAAAATTACTTTGGACACACACAACTATTTGTCAAAGCCATCATAACCCTGAAGATGATATTGGAATATATCGAAAGGCCTCGGAAAAATAAAAATGAATAAATACAACTGTGGTACCTTCCTTGCTCTCTCTAATCAGGAAAAAACAAAACATACATGATTACAAAAGGATATTGAAATATTATTGATAATAGTGTGGGTATATATATATATATATATATGATTGATGGCTGGCTTTATGAGCCACTGTCATTCACACAACCGATTAGAATGCAGTGTTGTAAGGGAAAGGAGTTTAACTAATGGACATGTCAATGATGGTCATACTCACTTTGCAAGTCAACAGCCACCATTTATATATATATATATAAATTATTTTTTTAAAAATATGATTCCTTTGCAATAATTATTTAAGCTCTACTTCATTATGGAGCACTGTTTTTTAAAAATAAAAACAAAAATACTAAAAGAACTCTGGATTATTTACCTAACATGTTCTTTCCTATTTTTCTACATACCTACACACACACATGATAATAGTACACATACACACACACACACAAAAAGGGTGTAACAGCATAATTATGCATCCCACAAAATGTTTAATATCTAAAAAAAAAAAAAAAAAAAAAAAAAAATTAAATTAATTTTCTTTTTCCCAGGTTTTCAGAAGACATTTAGCCATTTTGACACCATTCTTCATAAGAATCACTGAAAAACCTTTAGAGTTATTCAGCTAGAAAGAGAACAGGTTAAAATCATTTCATGTCAGCCCCACTATATCTTCCCAGCTGACCCATGGTGTGATGAAATGGTACCAATATTAATACACTGGCTTCCATCTTCAAAGTCCATTCAAGAACCATCAAGAGAACAGTGAATAAGTTTGAAAAAGAGGGAACAGTAGAGAGAAAAACTGGATCAGGAGGTCACAACAGGAAGAGGGATCATCATTTCAACTTAGAGCTAAAGAGGTTAATTAGAAAAGATACATCTCAATCCATAAGATGTTTGGCATGTGAGAGAGAAGTTTCATCTATGACAGTCCAAAGAGCAGTGAAAAAAAGACTTGAAATCATACATGAAACCTGTCGGGCACCTTGTTACTCCAGGACAGAAAGTTAGGTTAGAGGGCGAAGATCATCATGAATAAGTTGAAAAATACATCCTGGAACTGTATATCAATCCTTCATGAGCTTCCGATCCTTAGCTATGATTAATTAATGATGAACAAGTCATTTTCATTTATGATTGATTTCATCACAATTCTTCTGTTAAGCTTTGTCAATAATTATACATTCTAATTGCTCAAAGTAGAGTCTAACAGAGTTATAAAAACCTCAGAGAATTCCACTAAGATATCTTTAATCATTTCTAAGATATGATAGTTCAAATCTTAATCTAACAATTGGACTATTTTGCTGTTACCCCTGGTGTGTGTATATATATATATATATATATATATATATATATATATGTTACAATGAATCATAATATGACAATGCGAATTGAAAAAAATTTTTTTTTGATAACGGATAGAAACTTTTGGAAAACTTTAAAAACAAGGATCATAACATTCATTGAGTGATTTGTAGGTTAACACGCCTTTAAAATTTTGTTAGCGAAGGGATTTCGCCATTTTATATCAATAACTTTACTAATTTACTTTTTGTATGAATGAGTCATTGTAATATAAATTGAACTGCACCAAATATATATATATATATATATATAAAAATGAAAGTATGCCATTAAGTATTTATTCAACTAAATATGAACCATTTTGTTCCACAACCTTTTTTTCATTTTTCCTTCAACTTAAAGATTCCATCTTACCAGAATTTTAGGGATTTCTTAGCAAAGAACTCATTAAGGTGTTTTTTGTATGTCACCCAAAGAATTAAAATTTTTACAATTGAGATTATTTTGCAAGGACCTGAATAAATGAAAATGTCTGGTGAATATGGCGGGTGGGGTAATATATCCCAGCCAATCTGCATCAATTTTAACCTTATCACCAAATAAACATGACATCTGGCCTTATCCTGATGGAAAACAATATCTTTTCTGTTTGACAATTCTGGACGTTTTTCTTGAATTCGTCCAGTTGTGAGCAATACTTAGAAACTGGTTAATTGGCAGAAGCTCATAGTACAGGATTCCTTTTCAATCCCACCAGATGCACAGCATGGCTTTCTTAGGATAAAAACCTGATTTTTGGGTGTCTAAAGTTGGCTCATGTTGCTTACCCCAGGATCTTTTTCATTGAACATCCATTGGAAAGAATTCATTTCTTATCACAATTTGTTTAAAAAAATGGTGCATTTTCAATGTGTTTGTACAGCAAATCACAATGAAATGTGTTCCAAAAGATTCTTTTTTATTCAGATCATGTGGTACCCAAACATTATAGCAATTTGAGTACCCAAGCTTCACTAAGTGCTCATGGATGGTGGATTTTGATAAATTGAGTGTTTCTGCCAATTCCTGCATTGTGTAATGTGAGTTATCCTCAATCAATGTCTTTGTCATCTAAAATGCATCTTATAATCTTCCATTTTAATGCAAAATTGACATGAATTAAGCAATTTTAAACTTTCTTTCTCAAGAGATATTTTGAAGTATGCCCTAATCAGAAATGTAAGCATATTATATCTGTTGATAAATTTGATGTGTTCTAATGTGTTGAAACATGAATGACTAAAAATCAGCATGAACTTTCCGGACAACACAATATATATCATTAAAATTCTATTTTGGACTCATATAGTTTTCATTACATTCCAATATTTTTTATATAAAGAATATACATAATATAGAACCATTTTGACATCAGTATTTTTTTTTTAAACTTATTAAGTTTGAAGTTCATGTATATAATTTTTGTAGTTCATGTATATAATTTAAAATAATGAAACTATATTTATATGAATTTCCTTTTTAGATAGTATAAACTTTTCAAAATCAATAATTTGTGATCATCTTTGATTTATCTAAGAAATAACCAAATTCCTATATTTATAACCTTTGACAAATCATGAAAATATTTTCCAAGACAGGAAAAGTAATACAGTTACAATTTATATTAAATGTAATGTGTTATTAATATATTTAAGTCACTTCACAAAATATTAATGAAAAAAATGATGAACCTATGGTCTGTATGTATATATAAGCATATAAAAGCATTTCTGTGTACACATGTTCACTATGTATATACATACATAATACAATTTCCAACATGCTGTTATAAAAAGTTAATTTACTTCAAATCAGACGTTTCTATCTCTCTAAGTTTCTGCTTATACAAACTTATGTATATGAAATATTCATATACACACGCACACAGACTTCATATATAAATAGTGTATGCACACATATGTATATACACATGTGTATATACATATAAAGACAAAGGAAGAAATAGACGATTATTTTTTTTTTTTTTTAAGAATGTGAAAAAGCAAGTTGAGTCCAAGATGAAGAAGTTGATTATCATTTTACCAAGTAATTTCCAGCACACCTGGTGTGAATAAGATGCTGTTGAGAGAGAACCTGAAATGGAGATATCACATGAAATTTAGACAGACAAATACAAATGAAACGATGACTATAACAGTTCATAGACAAATTTGAGTAGGAGTGAGTGAGTGAGTGCATGTAATATTTTGCTGATTCCTCCAGTGTAAATAGTCTCTCAAAAAAAAAAAAAAAAAAAAAGGTCAAAAACAAGGTAGAAATGAGCAACAATAGTAAAGAACAAAAACAATTTTTTTTTTTTTTAAATTCTAGATATTCTAAAAATATTTATATCTAAAATTAAGACAATTTTCTTTATGTACATTAAAATACACAATTTGATTTGCAAATATAAGTTTTTAAAATTGATTAGCTGAAAAAAAAATAAATAAATAAAAAAAAAAAAGTAGATAACTCTTAAAAATTAGTTATAAGAATATATATTCCCAGTTTGATTACGGTATACTAAATTTTAAAGTTTAGCATATCACATAAAAATCCTACAAGTCCTGGTTGCTACACTCTTATATAAAATGTTTGAATTATGCAGAATGGTATTAAACTAGGTTAAAACATTACATTTTAAGAAAACATGTCTATTTGCTATGCTACTTCAGTGATTCTCAACTGTTGTGCTGTGTGATCTTAAGTGTGCTGCAGAAAAACGATTGGATTCAAAATCACTTCATAAATGTTCTTTCTAATATTGGACTTCAGTTATATGAAAAAGAATTGGTCACCAGTTCTAGTGACCAAGGGCTCAAAATAAAATAGTCAATGGTACCCACCAATACATTTTAGATTTCAATACAAAAGAAATGTCCTACATTAGATAAAAAGGCTTTATCAGTTTTATTGCAATTGCCAACTTCTTATTTATGTGAATTAGGCTTCTCATCCCTAAATAATGTAAAAAAAAAAAAAAATAAGAAAAAAAGATAACACTCAACTGAAGAAAGGAGTCTGCTTATCGAACATTCAATCAAGAAATTGCAAAAAGAAAAAAAAAACAGGCACACGTTCCACATTAAATAAGCTGTACAAATAGTTAAATGGAAACAAATTACAAACCAGGTTTAAATAGATGATTACAGAAAAAAATCTCTGCATATAATTAATAATTATCTGAATGATTTTAAATATATTAATTAGCAGGTGATATATTGAAAGATCTAAATCATTCAAAATGAATTGAGCTGAAAAATGTTATTACTTTTTTAATACTTACTCTGCAAGTCATTTTATATGATAGTAAAATAATTTAGACTATCACAGGCATCCCAAGTATGATAAATCTATATTAACCAAAGATAGTCACTTTATTGTAATAAAATAAAATCTAGATTCTTATTCAGTTTGCTGCATTATTTCCTTTCCGTTCTTCCTTTGCTTGCTTTATTATTCAGCATTAGATTTGTAGCATTTTTAAAACCTGGAAATGTAGGAGAATTACCAAATTTGAGAAAGATTTTTCTTTTTCTCTTTTGGCAATTTGAGAATAAACATTTGTATCTACACAAAAAAAAAAAAAAAAAAAGATTTTTTTCATATTTATTTCAGATTAAGATCAATTCTTTCATGAGACTTACCTTAAAAGGTTTACAAATATTACCTTCTTGATGCTAACAGCCCAATATCAACATCTTTACAAAACTTTAACCTTTAGCACTATGCATTATTAATATTATCACCCTTTCCACTGCATTCTTTTTCAAGGCCTCTCAATTGCAGTATACTTATTGCTACTGTTACTCAAAGTTGCTTTCTGTTGCCATAGCAGGATATAGCAACACAACTATAAAATTCAAACACCATTATTCAGGGATCAGAGTCACCTTCAGTGGCAGGATAAACTTTGTACAGCAAATGAAGTCACATACAGAGTGACAAAGGTCAAATTTGTATGTCAACATTTTCAGCTTTGCACTACATGTTCAAATTTACAATATCTACATGTTCAAAAGTTACTTACTAAGGTAATTCAGTAAAGCAGTTGCATATTATAACTCAAAAACCTAAATGCCAAAAAAAATTGATTTGATTTTTTTCTAGGTTTTATATTTTTTAATATATTTATGTTAATAAATAACTAATAAATATTTTTTGTTAATTGTGAATGATAGGAATTTGTTATTACAGCTATATGGCTTAACTGTAAACAATGGAAATTTATATCACATTCAATATATTAAAAAAGCCTCTAATGTTACCTATATTCTGAAATGAAGTAGTGTATATACTTGCATATCGTGCGACCCCCAAATTTTCGCTTATGAAAAAATGATATTATCATGTATCTCATGCCTCATGTGATTTCCTTTTTTGAGAGACCAAATTACAACAGACTAAACCTCTTTTCCTCTATCATCTCTTTATCTCATCTTGTAGTTAAAGAAGTTCAAAAAGTAAAAAAAAATGATAAAAGTATTGTTAGTAACACTATACTTGTTGCGTAAATACATACAGCCATAAACAACTGAATGAGAAACAGCTAAACATCTTATAAACATAAACAACAGAAAAGATGCATATTTGTTATGTTTGTATTTTATAATATGATACTAATATGTGAATATTATATGCATTATTATTGGATACAGTGAAGTAAAAATATCAGTTTCATCAAAATCATGTTTATTTTAAATACAGTTGACTTTTTGACTACAGTAAATGGATATATAGTTTGGTCAATGGTGTAACCAGGGCCAACAGTACAAAGGCTAATTTTATACCTTGTGTAGAATGCGACCCTCTTAAAATTAGCATCAAAATTAAGTTGCATGATACAGGAGTATATACAATATTTTTCTACGCTTGCATTACTGTTTGACTGTCAGTTTATAGACTGTATCTAGTTTTCATTACTTAATTTAAAACTTACTAGTTCTTTAATTAGAACAATTTTAATAGTTATAACCATCTTTCTTATAAATAGGGACCCTTTTTGCTTTCTATCAGTATGGCTGATGCTAACTTCCAGGAGAGTGATTCATTGTGACTTTTCAGGTTAATATTTTCCACTTACATGAAGTGGGAATATTATATTGAATAAATTGCTAGGTCCATTACTAAGTTGATTCACGTAATGTGCCTGACAATTTTCCTCACTAAAATCTAACACATTTATAAGTCTACTATTTGTTCATGCTTTGAAAATTGCTGTCACATCTTGCCTGGTTCTTCTATGTATTTAGAGATTCATCAAAGAAGAATTTGCAATGTTATTTGTCCTGACTTGACATCTCATCTTTAGTCACATTCCCATCACCATAACATAGCTCCCACATGCCTTTTTTATAAATACTTTTATGGTAATTGTTCTTATTAACTTCATTCTTTGCTACTTAAACTTTATGAATTTAAGTGCAGTACTAGATTGGCAGTAGGTCTCATTTTATACTTGAAATTACTAGATGTAATCCTAAGTTCTATGCTGTTTCTCCTCTCACACTTCTCACTTTTGAAACCCTCTTCTGACTTTTTGCTTTTCAGTCAACTTTGATCTTCAAAAATTTAAATGTAATGTCAATTGTTATTATCCATTTTCTTAATTCCTGTTCTTTTATTCTTCTTTTTCTCATTTTTTTTCACTCTCAGTAATCCTTTTCTTATATACCATACCTATGTACACTAATGGGTATGTCCCAATCCTCATAAATACATTGGACACTATTGTAAGTGAGGGTAATATTGCTGTCTAAGTAGTCCACCACTAGCAATGGGTTACCTACTTCATACTACTGGTGAGTATTGTATTTTGTTGACGTTATAAAGCTTACCATTTTGGTTATTTCTCATTCAGTAACCTTTTCTAGGTTACAACACCTTTGTATCTTAATGACTTTATTGCCTTGCATAGAGTGAAATGATAAAACAAATGTTGTAGCATGCCTACGGATGATAATGGGTATGTCCCCATTCACATAAATACAGTAGTAAATACTGTATGTTGGTCTGCAGTTGGAGATTCAAACTCTCTGCCCCCCAGGCAGCAAGGATCCCTAGATGAGGCTTTGCCGAAAGGCAGAGTTTCGTATCAGGAAACAGCTACCCGACCCCGTTATATACAGGGACGACAGGGAATTTTTTGGCCGAGCCTATGGGCTCGGATACCCCATATTAAATTCAGCTTTGTGCCACATCTGACTGTGTGGGGTGGCTGGTAGATATCCTGCAGTTAGAGATTCATTGTGGAATTCACTTGACTCACTTCTAGCAGTTGACTACTACTTCTATGTGTTGTTCATGTCCTAAGTATTACTGTTCATTACCAACCTGTGTGTGATTATTTTATTCAGTAACCTTCCCTAGGTTACAACAAAACAAAAAAAAAATCCAAACTCCCAGCAAACATCCTAATTTTGCACAGAAAACTATAAATATTTTATTGTGTTGTTATCTGAACAGTCTTCATTCTTTTTTTTTTTAAATTCTGGAATACAAATCCCTATATGGTATTTATATTATGGGTTATCTCACTTGACGTTTCTGAAAAAACTGTCACTAGGGGGTGCTCCTTAAGCTTATAAAATAGGAAATAATATTCTTACTCATTCTCAACTGACTATAAGATGTAGTTGAACATGGGGGGGGGGTCTTCAACTGGGGAATATTCATTTTCAATGTCTTGTGACTTTTTGCCCTCTTTCACACACATGCATTGACATTTGTTTTATATGCTGTTTTGTGTTACTCATTTATTACTTGAACTCATATTCGAGTCTGCAATAATTTTTAAGGGAAAAATATACCAGGAGATACGTGTTTTCTACATAAACACAAGAAGCATTCCACAACAATGTACACAGTCTCAGTCTATATATTTTGACTAATATGACTTTTTACTGTAGTAACTTTTTAGTGTGGTTTCCTATCTATTCGAGAAGTGTGATATTTCATGTTTTCATCAGATTTTTAATGGACATACTATTTAAACTTTAGTATTACTATTTATTTTACTATTTACTATTCCCCTTATATCCACTTTTTACAACTGCACAAATTTTTTTAAGTATAATTTTTCATATTTAACATGCAGGTATTTGATTTTTATAAGATGCTTGTTCAATATGGCATATAAAGTAATAAAGGAAAAATAAAAACTGATCTACTCAAAGTGGCCTAAATGAAGTGAAGTTTCCTATTTATTTAATAGAACTTGCAAATAAACCTGATTAAGAAACAGCTCATTAATGTGTAATGGTTGCTTCATTAGAATTTTAGAACATTTTACTACAGGGTACCTAGTAAAAAAAAAGCAGCAAATTTATTATCACTATTTTATCTTTCAGGAATAATTGACCTTGAATAAACATTTAACTCTTGCGTAATTACTTAACTGATTGGTTCTTTTATGATTGATTAATTGCTGCTTGATCTTGTGACTCATCATTTAAAAGGTTATTTGCAGACAACTTACGCCTTTCGTTCTGCCCTTCTCATATGGCTAAACAAAGTTTTAAGTTTCAAGTTATTGTACTTTTCAAAGAACATCCGGCATGGGGGTTGATGAAATGTGCAGAAATTCTTCCTAAATTTTTCAATCATATCAGTCATCATCAGTATTCAACAAATGTCTCAAGTCTTTCTGAATTTACCTCTTTTTTACTTGGCACCATGTACTAAATACTTCAAGGTAAAGAAATGTGTAAAGGATTTTACAATAAAGAATTAAGCTAAGTATAAGAATACAAGGACATTAATTATAAAGCAAATAATAAGATCAACTCTGAGGTCAGTATTTTTTTTATCAATATTTCAATAGTATCAGGAATTATTATAACTAGCAGCACTCCTGAAAATTTCAATTTTTCTAATTGAATTTTTTGATGAACTACAATTGACTGAACAAACCCCTTGAGAGTTCCACAAATATAAAACAACCTGTGGAAATTTCCCTGTTACATTATTAACTATTTAGATAAATGGTCATGAGTTTTTGAAACAAAGGCTATATTTTGATTAGTTGTATCAAATACTTTTCAAAATGAAGATATAATTTATAGAGATTAAAAATTAAAATGTTATAATCTATATGCTTTTGAAAGCAAGCACATTTTTAAATGTAAAAACAAAAATTAATGATACTTACTTTCTGAAAGAGGGACTGATATTATGACACCATTTCCTGTCCCAATCCACAGCCGATTACATGAGATCAACATGGAAGTAATTCTCACAAAAGAGAATCCTAATTTACCAGTGCCTGAAAAAAAAAAAAAATAAAGCAAAACTTATAAGAGAAAGTTTCTTAACATTAAATTCAAAATAAGATGACTTTTTACTGCAACAATTATATCAATATGCAACTGTAAAAGAACTTTGTCAAAATTCCCATATTTTTTTTTTATTGATTCTGAAATTAAATAAAAAAAGAACTAAATGAACATATTATGCTTTTCTTATTTCAAGAAAAGGAAAAACACAACTCAAATACATAAAATCACTGTACAGTATGGAGAAGGTACTTTGAATAACTGAATATCTTAAAGTAGTTTGCAAATTTTCAAGCTGGAAATCACTTACTGAATGACACTTCACAGTCAAATACACCAATGAACAAATTATTGAGTATAATTAATATTAAATAAAGCTGGTAATGGCCATCACACACAAAATCAAGTACCAGTTTGGTTGTGTTAGTCACTTTGATAAGTAGCTGCCATTAAAAAAAAAACAAACTACTGGACCATATTTCACAAGCAATTTTTATAAGCAAATTGTGACAAGCAACAAAAAGCGGTTAATGTGGAATAATGTGGAATGCAAAAGAAAGATCTTTGAAAAAGCAAAATGAACTTTCATTAACTGAATCAATTTTCATCAAGAATGTATTGCTCCATATTTTATGGGATTAGAAAGGATTCCAATATGAATTTTTTTGTTTTTGAATTGATTTGGACAAGTATTGTTTCTGATAAGAGTAACTCGAAGGCAGCACAAATTGTAAAATATCTAGAATTAAAGAAAAATGTAATATTTCATCAAGATAACACTAAATGACATATTTCTTTGTAATCAGAAAATAAAAATCTGACAGCTTGACTGGGAAATATTTTACTCATTTGCTGTATTTAGGACAAAATGCATCTTCATGTTATTTATATTTTTAAATTTTTTTTTTAATTTATATGTTATTTATATTTTTTAATTTTTTTTTTTAATTTATATGTTATTTATATTTTTTTTCATGTTATTTATATTTATATTCATTTGCTGTATTTAGGACAAAATGCATCTTCATGTTATTTATTCTCGTCTTTTCAGAATTTTAATGAACATTTCAAATAAATGTTTCAATTCCCTGGTAGTGCAGAAAAGTATTTTATATACAAATATTTCTTTGCCAAGAATGATAAAATTTGGGGGGAAAATTGAATTAAGTTGCTTAAAAGATCGTAGATTAACTTCATTTTTGTTCAATGTTGAAAATAAACAATTTGTACTTAATAAATCAAATGAACATTTTTTTTACCAACTCAACAAATGTAACATACAGGACAACATAAAATTCATTAAATTTACATTAAACAAAATTACCATTCCTTTGTCTTGAATTACTACAAATGACTGTTATAAAAAAAATAAAGAAAATGAAATTAAACAAATATTAAAACATTTATTTATATTTTTTATATGATTCATATTGTGATAACCAAATATTGTTTTCCATCAAGTAAAATTAAAAGTACACATTGGTTAGAAAAAGAAGAAAAAAACAAGTCAGTTTCAAGTTTTTTAAAGATCTTGATATGCAGGAACAGTATTTTTATTAACTTCTACTTCAATAGCTTCTTCACTCGCACTTCCACACAGTAGAATTCCCTTCCTCTTACTTTCTTCCCTGATAGCTATAAACTTCAAATATTCAAATGTAATGTCAATCGATATCTTCTGATGCCTTGATCCCTATCCTTCTCCTTTCCTTAAACATCTCTCTTTACTCTTACTCTTCGTAACCCCTTGTGTGCTAATGGCACTCCTGCCTTGCTTAAGGTGAAATGCTTAAAAAAAAATATCAATAAATAAAAAATTTCTTAAATCACAATTTTAATTATGTAAAAGAAATCACACTGCAGTTATTTATTTTTGTGACACTATAATTTCTTATTAATCTTGTAATTAAGTTTAATATTGTCTGTATAAATTTGTATATCAGATGATGACAGGTTTTGATAGTGTCATCCTTTTGAAAGCAAATATTTAGCTTTATTCTGATAAAACATTAACCTTTAACATTCTGGAGGTGATTTTGTTTGCAAAGCAAAAATTTTATCCTGCCACTGCAAGTGACTCAGATAAATGAATGATAGCATGTTTGAATTTTGCAGTTGTATTGCTATATCCTGCTATGACAACAGAAAATGCTTATGACTGGAATTAAGTAGTGCTGTAGAGCAGCCTTGAAAAACAATGAAGTGAAAAGGAAAGTAGTGAATAATGCAGTGTGTTAAAAGTCAACATACAATAATTTACAGTCTGAGAGGAATATTTTGATTACAATATGTTAATGCACTGATAGCAAACCAAGTCAAATGCTTTTGCATTCAAAAAGCTAATGCAATCCCACACATTTTTATCCTTCATCCATCTTTCTTTCTTTTTTTTTTTTTTAAATGGACCAATCTTTAACAGACATTAAATCTGTCTGCTAATTCTTCACAAATACACTAAGTTGTCAGCCAAGAAACACTTTGAATGTAACAGAGTATGTCATCATCAATTCTTACGTTTAAGTGTTTAAACAAATAATCCATCACAAATGTTAATTTCACCAATTTCTCTTGTTATGGGATTTAATTACTTTTAAGCTATCAAATTTTATGAAAGAGAGAAAGAAAAAAAATGATATCTAAATATTTATATGCAATGCCCAATTTGATTAAATTTTATAATTTTTATTAACTGCTTTAATTAGCAATTAATAAAAAAAATTGATAGTTATATTGGCCATTGCATACAATGTGTCTAAATGGAAGTTATACTTTTCAGATTTTAATTCATTAGTTGTTTATAATCCCCCTACCAATTAAAGAGATTTTGATGGAACAATACCGCTTGACTATTTCGATAAAAACAAATTAATAAGCATTAGAATTATAAGCATATAATTTTGAAAAATTATTGACAAGTGTGTAATCACACTTTCACAACAGAATCAATCTATATATAATAAATGTGAATGTCAGTGTGTCACACATTTTCAACTTTACTCCAAGAGGCCATAGACCAATATATCATACCATTTTGGAATCAGGTCAACTGTGAGCAAGTTAAAAACATTCTGGGCCAGTTCCGAACATGCAATCCTGAAATTTTTGATTCCCAAGTTTTCATTACTGCAATTGTTTTTGGTAATTTTTTTTTTTATGTGATTTTTCTGCAAAAGATTTTTTTGTACAACAGCATTTTCTATAACTTGGAAATAAATTTGGGAATAATTGAAATTGATTGTGAAATCCAGTGAAAGTCACCCATGAAATAAAAATAGTTGTTTGTATGGAAAGTAAGGACCTACGTACATCAAATTCTCATTAAATTAAGTGGTGGCAGATGAATAATCATTGAACTTTTAAAAGGTAAGCTTAAGTATTAATACAATACTTAAATGCAACAATCAATTTTGAGTTCTTCTGTAGTTTGTTATCACATCTACTTCTCCTCCCTACCTATTGTGATAAAAGCCTAATCAAGAGCCCTCCGCTGGAGCTAACTTAAATGCTGCCTGATATGGCGACTTTTAAGCTAGTATCTAATAAATCAGTTAAGTTTTAAGTTAATAAATCTCCTTATAATTAGTTGTATCCAAGAAAAGAAACCTCCATTAGTAGAGCCAGATAGAAATTCTGCATTATCCATATTTGTTTTATACATGTAAATCATTTTTAAAGATTTAAACAGAGAAAAAATGAATTAGATTTCAGAGACAAGTTGTCTAAAGTGGGATATTCAACATAAAATCAAAATGATAAAATTATTAGTACACAATAATGACATTTTTATGTATTTATAAAATGTTATAAACTTACCTAACATTTTACTGACATAAGGTTCAATGTCAACATCTTGTAAGTGTTGATAAGTATAGGCATGATATAACCTAAGTGTGCTGTCTAATCTTATTGATACCCAAACACCATCACCAACCCAAGCTAACTGACGTACTTGGCTCTCTTTTCGTGGATGGGCATCAAAACTTTTCTGAAATAAATTGAAAAATAAATTAGTTTGTTTAACAGCATATCAATTCCTTAAGGGTTATTTAATGCAGAAATATAACTTTCTTGAGAGCTTTGGTAATTTTTTTTTTTTTTAATATTAGAATCGATTGCTGGTATTTTTACTATAAAAATGTATATTTATACTTTCATAGTGTTTTGACCCCTGTTTGAGGGTTAATTATTTGCCCATTGCTACCACCCTAGGTCAGGGTGGACCTGGGAACAACAGCAATTAAAAAATGGTTCCATGACTAATTTCTGTCTGAATTTCTGGGATGAGGAGTTATTTACATTCAGGCTATTATTCTCTTTGTTGTCATTTACAATATTTCAGCTGTTGTGCTAAACATGATAACAATAACAAAGATAAGGACAATAGTCTGAATGTAAATAGTGTATAGCAGTGTTTCTCAACCTTTTTTACCCCAAGGCACACATGTAGAATAACAAACTCTGGGGGCACACTTAAAATTTTAGTAAGGAAAAATAAGTCATGAAATTTGAAAATAGGAAAATAAAAAAAATCTCCTGAAATAAGCATTTATTTTAAAAACATTACATTGTATATTTAAATATGCTTGTGTGAAACATATGCTTGATGTGTTTTGGTAACTTTTTGAATGAGAGATCTTATATGTTATACTTTGAGGAAAGCAAAGAGGAAATGTTTATCCCCTCCTTATAAAGAATTTAACATCCAGTTTAAAATATCAAATGACAAAGTCTTGACTTAAACATGGAAGCTATGTGCTTGGTGTCTCTAGTTTTTTTATAAATAAAGATTTTTAAATATAAAAATAATTCATAAATTGCTCTTCTGTTACGTTTAGGTGGACCTGGCTACCTTTCTGGGCAGATTAGTGTGCCCAGATGAACGGGTTGACCAAAGAATAATTGTGACAAAAAAAAAATTAAATAAAAAACTAATACTCCCAATGATACTTTCTAAAATGTCTAGATGATGCTATGAAAGACAATAGAGAAACACTATCAAAGATTGATTGGTTCAATGACCTACAGATATTTCATAGTTTGTATCACATTAAAATTTACCCCAGGAAGTAAAAGTACATTACTATGACAAAATAAGAAAATGATATTTGACCATAAAAGACACTATTTTATTATGAAAAAGAAAAAAGATTTTCAGTATTAAAACAAGTGTTGAATTGAGGCTGATCACCAAGAATTACTATCCCCAAAAATATTACAGCACAAGGAAATCCCAGTTAAAGATATCTTGAAACACAAATTCAATAATAGCAGATTGAATTTGGCTGACAGACAATTATCATCCAAGTAGCAGCATAACTTGAAAAGTTCAATGAAGAATATATTGTACTTTTTTAAACGAAGAGGTGTTTGCAATATATTCAGATTAATTTCAAGCTGAGGAAAAAACAGAAGCCTATAGCAATTAAGACAGAGGGAAGCAACTTGTAAAGAGTTCTGAAGGAAATAGCTAAAAGCCTAGCAGATCACCAGGTAAAACTACAAGGAAGCATTATCAAAAATAGAGGTAAGAAAATATCCGCAGGCTTTCCAAAGAAAAGTTTTTTAAAAAATGGAAAAAAATAAGTAGTGATCTTAGAATAAATAGCGTTCTATAGGATGTGGTAAATACTTTAGTTTAGAAAGAAAATTAAAAAGAAAATAGAAAAGTATAGCAAAGGCTCATGAACATAAGCATGAAAAATATGAACATCTGTGAAAAAGAATTTCTGAAAACTGGCTGAATGTATATGTAAGATGTAAAATGTTTATCACTTAGACATAAGTTAAACTTGTTACAAATACATCCAGAAGGTGAAATATATAAAAATAGATTTCACACAAAGAAATATTTTAGGAGATTACGTTTTATTGAAAGTACAGATTATTATTATTATTTATTATGAAGATTGGAAAATTGAAATAAATTCAGAATGTTATCTTGCCTTTTCAAATTAGATGTTAATCTATCATCCATCTGGTAGGTAAAAAAAAATGTTCAAGTTAAAAGCTAAGGAAAGCATAGGCAAGGATTATGAATGTAAGCTTGAAAGATATGAACATCTGTAAAAAAAATTGTTGAAAAGTGTCTGAATTCATATGTAGAATGCAGAACATTTATCACAAAGTTAGACATACCAAGTTAAACTTCTTACAAATACATCTGGAAGGAGAACATATAAAAAAAAATGAACTAGAACCAAAATTAGGAGATATTATAAGGTATTGTTGGGACCTTGGGTTATCATTTAATGGAGGGTCTACCACAATAATACAAAGTACTTTTCTGGGACACTAAATTTCTTTTTTAGTAAGTAAGGCTTTCATTTTAATCTTATTAAAATATTTTACTATTACTGGAAAATATAAAATAAATTTGAAGCTTAATTATAAATGTATACATTTTTTTATTTGGTAAATTTGAAAACCAAATCATAGCTCCCTGTTTAAATCCAGATTACATTTTAATGAAAGAAATGAATTCAAAAAATGAAAAAGAAAAACTCACCAAATATAAAAACATTTAATAAATTGTATATACAAAAGAATAAAATGTTATTTAATTTAAAATTAAAAATAAATAACTTACAACTATAGTCATGCTTTGAGGATCAACTACATGTATGGTATTCTTGTAGCCACACCATACATGTTTATTTGCAACTAAGACCATACAACGGATTGAATGAAGAGGTTTTCCTAAATCTAATAGATGATAATTCTTAAGATCCCATTGACCATCTGTAAAGAGATTGAAAAAATAAAGATAATCATTTAATAAATGAAAATTTTAAAGATTACAATATTTGTATTTTTTTTTTATTTAAATATTTTGTCGAAATGCTGTAATTGTAAAATTACAACCTCAGTTTTAAGTTAAATATTTCTCATTACAACTTAAATTTAAAACATTTAATTCTTTTTAAGAAGAAGAGAAGAAAAAGAAATAATAATAGCTTAGCCTAATGATCCAACAGGCCCATTTAACTGAGAAAGAAAGCAATGCTCATGTACTTAATATATTAGGAAATTTAATTGCAAAAATAGCATTTTGTAAATGATGAGCAAAGAGTAGTCAAATCTTAAAGTTGTCTTAATAAAGGGTTTCTTGAATGGCTTAATGAGATAAAAAATTATTCCAAATATTGTCAATACTAAACTATTTCCTGTCTAAGATTAGAAAAATATTTTACTTACACCCAAAGGAAAATGAAATATAATTCTTATTCTAAAAAAATGTAAGAACAAGTATTAAATTGTGAAAAGGAACTTTTTCTATATAAAAATATTAAGAAGTGTGTTCATGATCATAGATTAAAGAGAGCATTTTAATATTCTGACAGGATTTATATTAAGTAAACAAATAATATGAACTAAAAATATGTCACATTAGAAAAAGTAAAGTTTCCTCTTTAGTACGTAGACTTTATAAATTTAAGTGCAGTACTAGATTGGAAGCTAGGTCTCATCCTTTTTACAGTTGAAATTGCTAGATGTAACCCAATGCTAGCCATTTCTCCTCTCACAATTTACACTTATGGAACTCTTCTGGCTTCTTGCTTTCCAGTTAAGTTTGATCTTCAAAAACTTAAATGTAATGTGAATTGTTATTTTATTTTCTTAATTCCTGTTCTTTTATTGTTTTCTCTCAATTTTCTTTTTCATATTCTCTAACACTCAGTAACCCCCTTGCATCTTAGTGGGTTTATTGCCTTGCTTGGGGTGAAATGATTCATGAAAATAAAAAAGACAATGTTAGAATAAATTTTTATTTCATTGGGTGGTAGGTATTATCATTATTTTTAAAGTTACTGACATTATCTATTTTTCATTTCCAATTTCTTTTATTTTACTTCCTGATTATAAATAATGTCTAATTTCTGAAGTTACAATTGTTTAGATGAAAACCATTAACTTACCTGCTGCTCTGTGAAATATTGCAACAGACCCGTCAGCTAATGCTGCTAACACTCTACCTTTTGTATGACTGTAAACAAAAAGGTGTATTTTGTAAATCCATCAGCATTAATTAAAAGGGTTAATTCATTTAAAAATGGCAACCAGTGGATAAAAAGTTTACTTTTCATTATCCCATTAATGGTAGCAGAAATTTATGTCATTCATAATTTTAGCATAAAATTGCAATGACAGAAAATATACGCCATCTGTAGCTAATAGGTTAACTTTGGCAGAGAGGTAATTTCAATAAAATATAAATCATACCCATTCAACAACTAAAAAAAAATCTTTTTTATAACCTCTTAAAAATTTTCTGAAAGTTCCCAACACTGTCTAAACAGTCCAATTTTCATGCAATTCTCACAAAATTCACCAAAGATTTCTTTTAAAGCTACACACATTTACTACACTTTTCATATACTCAAGCAGCTTATTCCAATAAAAAAAAAAAATCTGTATGTTTACTGGGTTTTTGATTTAGTGGCAATAGAACGCTTAAAGTTTTTGTTGTATGTGCTGCTTCAACAACAAAATAATCCCTAATTACTCTTGACACTGCTTTACCTGACAATGTGTGAATAGCAACAGTTGGACCATAACACATTTCAAGCTGTTCACTTAACCATGTGCTGGTCATTAAAGTGTCAATACCCCTGAAAAACTCATCAGTAAATGAAAGGCCTTTAGTATATTCACAATATCTATGATTTCATTTACATGTAGTAAGCAAGCAGATGATCAAAAGTAATGAAAAGATCAAAAGTTTGCTCGATTCTCAATATGCTTAAGTATAGAAAACATACAATTTACAAATTGGATCATTTGTGGCATTGTGGTTGGTTTGTATCCAGTGAGTATGGTCCATGACCTAATTATGTGTTTATATAACACATAAGCAAAGGAAGCCATTCCCCAAAATCAATAATTTCTATGTAACAAACTAAAATTGTATGTTACTATTAGATTAAAGGAAGTGCTTGATAAACCAAAATTCTACACTCTTTTCACTGAGTTATGGCCAAGAAATATCAAAAATTGAAAATGTGTTGTGACATCTGTCTGAAAGATAAGTAATTTCAGTCTGTACATGATTAACTTTATCTATTTGTTAAATATCATAATGTATAAAATTAAAACTTACACAATGTTTAAAACAGAATCTGGAAGCTTTACTGAATGAAGACATCTTTTCCATTGAGAAACTGACGAGTGTACATACAAACTGCATTACATAATATAATAAAATGTTAGACAAGATTAGTTACATAAAGCGATCAAAGAACATTTTGACTGAAAAATAAAATAAGTTTCAATAAATTAACATTACAAATATAGTAACTAAAAAATAACCTGATGAAAGATTACATTTTAGAAGCAAAGTATAAAGTTATGTTTCAATTAAAGAAAAAAAAAAAATCAAACAAGTTTATAGATTGTATTTTTAGCTGTGAAATTTAGAACTGTCCCTCAAAAATTTCTGCTTTAATACAGAAATGATTAGCCACTGATTTTTGAAAGTTCCCTTTCTCCAAAATTCAACAATAAAGCTTATACTTAATTGTACAAATCAAAATACTCATTCTATAAAATAAGATTTCAGGCTATACAACTTAATCATCTTGTATTTATATATTGAAAGAGTAATCCTGAAATTTTTTAATCACTGGAATCTACATAAGGCAGATGATGAGAACATCAATTTGTTTAATAGTAAAAAATAAAGATTTAATTTTATTTACATATTTCAATTTTTATTCTATAACAAATACGCTATGAACATTAATTAATTTACAATAATTTATGTGTTTGTTAGTCAAATGATATCTCAAAGAAACCTTAAACAATAAACTTACCTTCCACTTTGTGAACCTAACCACATTGTGGGTAAAATACTACTCATTTTTTCTACTTCTTCATACTGTAAGTCATTATCTGTTGGAAGTGTAGAAATTCCATCTTTCACAAGTTCTGTGGGTTCTTGGAGAAGTCTTTTTTCTGGACCTGATGAAGAACTTGAAGTTGGTGTTGTAGCGCCAGATGATGCTGGAGAACCAGTTGCTTTTATCAATAAACCTTGGGCATCAGTTGAAGAAGTGGAGGAGATATCAGCACCTGTTCAATAAATAACAAGTCTTAAAAACAAAGAAAAAAAAAGAGGAAATAACAAGTACAAAAGAAAAAAAAAATTAAAATAATTTTCATAAATCAGCTGCTTATATCTGCCTATATTTCTATCTATATTTTATATTTATTATGTAAATATATTTTATATAATTTATATTATGTAAATATATTTTATATTTATTATGTAAATAGTGTACAGCTGCTTATATATTAAATTCATGCTAACAGTATACTTATAACTATAAACTGAATAATATATTTTTCAATTATCTTTAATAAATTTTTTCAACCATTTTATTTGATTTTAATGATTTAAAGTACTTTTTTCAATTAAAAATAAAAAGAGTAAATTTTTATTTTTTTGTATGTTTTATACATAATTGAAAAAGTTATATTCATCAGTAAAATATCAAACAATCAAATTTGTTCAATGTACCGTCCATGTAAACATTTATGAAAACACTATATATGCTAGTAAAATAGGATTGTATAAATTCTCCAATACTAATTCCAGTATTGGTATTACACACTATTATTGCAACAGCTCAATAAAAAAAGGTCCAAAAAGTAAAAGCATTCTTATTTTAAAATGTAAGGATTACCTGACTCACTACCTTCAGGTCGACCTCGATCTTCTGATAATTCATCATCTTTGTTTTCATCAGTTTTTTCTAAATGGAGAGAAAAAATAAAAGAAAAGACAAAATAAATCAACTTTATAAAATACATAAAAAAAAAAAAAAAAAAAAAAAAATTCAAGAAAGATTAAGAATATATTTTTATTAAAATCAGCATCTTTTTACTACGAAATTTGAAAAATCCTCTCCCAAAGCAAAATAAATTATTTTATAATACAAATATTCGCAAATATTTTATCTAGTTACTTTTTAACAATATGCCATTACTGATTAATTCAATTTTTACAAAATGCACTAGAAGTATATCTATAAGGATCCGATCCATGTATAATAAAAAAATTCTAAGCATGTTTTGAATATATATGATGCCAGACATTTTAAGAAACTTCAATGAAAAACAACCAAATTGACAGTTCATTTAAGCCCAACAATAATCCTTTAAATTACAAGCTCACAACACAATATGTATAATCCTCTACGCAATCATAAGAAAATACGATACAAGTTCTATACTGATGCAAATTAACAAATTCTCATAGATTGAAGAAGTTTAAATATATTGAGCTTCCAAGATAATTTAATAAAAAAAAAAAAAAAAAAAAAAAAAAAAAGCTATCTATTGCATCTGAATGAAAATGTAAGCATGGGATTCATTTTATGAATGATTTCTTAAAAAGTAATGGATTAATTTAACATAAACTAAATCTATTTATATGCAGTATAAGTTTTGTTTGGTTTGTTTTACAGCATATCAACCCATTGGGTCATTTAATGCCTAATTTTTTTTTTTTCCCCTAGAAGTCTTGTATTTAGACACTCAAAAACATGATTTTAAATGGTAAGACTGCTATTTGTTACGCTTATATTATTTATTATCAGTTTAATTTCTCTCAGGAACTAGACTATGTAAAATGAATCAGTATTTTGAAAAATTCTTTTAAGTTTGTTATATGGTAGTATTTTAATCAGGTTGAATTAAAATTGCTGCAGTTTATCAGTATGTGTTTTATAATGAATGGCTCTTGTCATGTCACACATACGGGAGGTTCTTCCTTTACAAATGTATTATGGTAGTATGTCCAATATGGAGTCTGGACATAATCTCTTCTAGTTTGGCATTTCTGATGCCATTCTTCTATAGTTGGTTTAATTTTAAACAATTTATTTGACTAAGTTTTATAGGTTCTATCACTTTTCTCTAATATATTTATCGATTGCTGGTTTCAGGTCTGTGTATGGGATTTGGGTTTCTAAGTTGTCTAATGTGTTTTTTTTTTTTTTATAGTAGCTTTCTTTGCTGCACAATCGACTATCTTCCCTATGATACCAATATGGCTTGGTATCCAAAGGAAGACAATATCTCTAAAGTATAAGAGTAATCAAAACATTGGTAACAAAATCTGATTGAAAGATTTTATCTGTCTATATTCCCGAGACGAGGTATTGTAAATATTTACACTATTTACATTGTTCACACCGTCGTTGCCATATTCACAACATTTCGGCCATTATAAGCTCTGGCCTTCTTCAGGACCTGTCTATATTTCTAAGATGAGGTATTGTAATTATTTACACTATTTACATTGTTTGGGCTGTTTTCCTCATCTTCATTGCCATATTCACATGATATGGCAACAAAGATGAACAATATAAATAGTGTAAACGAAAGATTTTAGGCTAACATTATGCAAAGAAAAGTAAAATGCCTAAAGGATCAAGTTAAAAGCATAAACTATTATATTAATGCAAACAACATAGGATTTAGTTGAGAAATTCAAAATTAGTTTCAATTTTTCCAGTGTAATTGGTGTTACCTGAAAATATTACATTGACACTAAACACCATAAAACTCTTCATCATAACTAATATGTAGATATAAAAATGAGCTTACAAAAAAATAAAGTTTTCTTTAAATCTCTATAAAATAAAAAGTACTTAGATAAAAAAAAGATGCCTATAAAATAAAAAAAATAATATGAAAGTAAAATACATGAACTACTTTTAAAATTTTATTAAAGTAAATCTAGAATCTTTCCTACACATAAATGGAAAATACAGTAAAAGAGATATTTGTGTGTCAGGGTCCCTAATTAAAATAAACTGCTTAGGTTAGAAATAATTGTGTTAACAGATAAATTTTTTAGTACAAGTCATTTTTTTAATTTTTTTTTTGGTTAAAAATAATTATTTTTTTTTCACCTCACAAAGAATCAAAACAGAACTATTCTGTCCCTAATTTTATAAAAATAAGATAATTGTACTTAAGTTTTTGTTTATTCTGTAAGGAATGAGTAGTTATCAGAGTTACATAGGTTCTTCAGATTCTGAGAGAAATCACAGGATAGTAAAATATTTTTAAAAAATACAAATAAAATAACAATGTCAATATTGTTTCTTTTTCTCATAAATTTCAATTAGGAAAATTCTACACCAAATCATCCAGACCATGTCAGCCATTTTTCTTGAATTTGTTTGATTCAATAATTTTCGGGAACCAAACTTTTCATATCACAGCTTGTCTGGAACTTGAATTTTTTTAATTTTTTTTAATACAATGTTTCCAAAATGGCAGATTTTGTTTCATAATATACCAAAAGAGTAAAATAAAAATGCAATAATTTGGGAACTGCTTAGAGTTAGACAATCAAATTCTCAGGATTTGATAACCTTAATGATACCTACATTTGTTGTAAAGAAAATTAAGGAATCAATGTGGGTTGTGTGATATTTCCCTCTTTTTTGTGAGGGGTTGATTTCATATGGACTTAACCCTTAATATTTATTTTTATTATTTGATTGATAAAAATAAAGGAAAATTTGATATTAACAGTTAACTTTTTAATACAGAGGAAACTGATTACAATTACTTTTTGAAAGGGTTTTTAAATAACTAGTTGATATCATTAAGTAAAAGATATAAAAAAAAATAAATAAAATAAAATCAATGATCAATGTTAAACAATCTTACTTGAAACATTAATACAAAATTGATTGACTTAAATTTTTTATTCCTTTTATATAAAATATTAGGAATCAGTGATTTTTATAACATAGAATCTTTTATAAATATAATAATATCTTAAATTCCTAATACATCAATACAAAATCATAACTTAAGATTTTTATCACTTTTACAATAAGTAGACAGCATAAATTATTTTGCATCATGATTTGATTGTCTTTAAAGTGTTAAATTTGATTCTCTTTCCGTTTCTTTTTGTGATTCTCTAAATTTTCAATATATAAAAAATTTAATTTTTAGAATGACAAACTTTTAAACTTCAATTTATGTAAACTTTAAAATTTTTACTCATTAGACCATTTTAGTATATTAGCATAACAAATGGCTATATTTTCTTGCTAACAACAGAAATATAACAATGAAATATATTAGATTTGAGATCAGACCAACATAATACAACTTTCTAATAAGCATACAAAAGTTTTAAGGCATTCAAGAAGCAGATATTTAATTAGTCACTTGCATGAAGCACAGCTGGGGTGCTATAGGGTAACAATACAATTACAATATAATGGGTTGCATTTTCATTGTCCCCCATGATTTCAGAAATGGAATGTTCCATCCATCTGGGACCCACTACCATGTCCCACTCAAAACTGTATAATTGACATTGTCTTTCATGAACTGTATAGCTAGTATTCATATTACATGCCAGATGTCAGAGCCCAACTGATATTGGCCTGAGCATTTCTATAACAAAAAAGCAAAATGGTGTCACCTACTGCTATCTTATGACTTTTGGCATATATATATATATATATATATCTCAGATGTGTATCTGTAAAGGAACAAAATGAATAAAAAGACTAGAAAAACTATTTTTAGCCAATTCATTTTGTCCTCTCAGGGATTTTTTTATTTGCCCTGATAAAGTCCTTCAGATAATGAAACATCAGCTAAGAATAGTTTTTTGCTTTTTTACCCCATATATATATATATATATATATATATATATATATATATATAGGGTGGGTAAGGTATTTGAGGACAGGATTTTTTTTTTTTTTTTTTTGTTGCATTTTTGCTAACACCATAGAAGGCCTTATATTTCAGCAAGACTCTGCACCATCACACAACGCAGAAATGGGTGGCGAAAAATTTTCATGATCACATAACCCCTCACATTTGGCCTCCTAACTCCACAGTTCTCAATCCATTGGGCTATTATATGTGGAACATTGTCAATGAACACTCCCCATACCACTAAAGATTCTTTGAAAGCCAGCAGTCAGAATATGAACCAGTCATTTAAATCAAGCATGCAGATGATGTCAATCTCATATAGAAGTTATTGAAGCAGAAGGCAGCTTTAGTGAATAAAATTATAAGATTATGTATTTTTATGCTTATAACATTTTTCAATAAAGTTTTGTTATGTTTTTTCTAGACAGAAATGTCCTCAGATATCTTACACCACCATTATATATATATATATATATATATATATATATATATAATATATAAATAAAAACAAGCTTTGTGAAATTCAAATGAAATGGCCTGTTTAATTTTTTTATTTTATTTTTCTGATTTTTGAATAAATTGTTGTACAACTAAAACAAAAAACATGACCGCAAATTAAAACTTACACCCATTTTAAATGATAATGCAAACTACGCAGAAACCCTACAAATAGTCTTAAAAAATAATTACTACTGCTAATAATACCGAAATAGAATTTTCGTAACATTAGAGAATATAAACCAGGTGATATCTACAGGAAAATAAAAATTCACAACCCTAGAGACCTATTAAGACGAACAATTTGACAAATTCCTATTCCAATCAATCATATGCCCAAAACACTTAATCAAATTATTGAACTATATTTATTTTCTAAAAACAAATTCTACATGACTTCAGATAAATTTTCAAAAGCATTATATCAAATAATGTTGCATCAGTTACACTCAACATTGAAAATTTATTTACAAATGTATTTGCTAGTGAAACAATTCATATTATCATTAATAATTCCACGTCCAAAAATAAAACCAATAAACAATTACTATTGTAAAACAAAAGCTCCTTTTTATGATCATTTACAAAATATATTTACATTTGATGACCTTGCAATATATGGTTCCTACATTTTCTGAATACTATGTCAACCTTAGAAAAAAAACAAAAAACAATAACATACTTTTATAGAATGAGGGGTAGAAATGAAATGTAACTATCTGAGTAGTGTTGTTACTAATGTGGCAGAAAGTAATGTTGTTACAGATGTGAGAAGAAAGTAATGTTGTTACAGATGTGAGAAGAAAGTAATGTTGTTACAGATGTGAGAAGAAAGTAATGTTGTTACAGATGTGAGAAGAAAGTAATGTTGTTACAGATGTGAGAAGAAAGTAATGTTGTTACAGATGAAAGAAAGTAATGTTGATTAGAAGAAAATAATGTTGACAGATGTGAGAAAAAAGTAATGTTGTTACAGATGTGAGAAGAAAGTAATGTTGTTACAGATTGAGAAGAAAAAGTAATGTTGTTACAGATGTGAGAAGAAAGTAATGTTGTTACAGATGTGAGAAAGAAAAGTAATGTTGTTACAGATGTGAGAAGAAAGTAATGTTATTACAGATGTGAGAAGAAAGTAATGTTGTTACAGATGTGAGAAGAAAGTAATGTTGTTACAGATGTGAGAAGAAAGTAATGTTGTTACAGATGTGACAAAAAATGTGGTACAAAGACCTGAAGGTATAAGCACTAGCAAAAGAGATCTAGAAAGTAAATAAAGTGTTAAGACATCAGGAAACCATGTTAGAAACAAAAAAAAAAAGAGTGCTGAACTGTTATGTAATATTTAATCTCTTATAATAGCAGTGAATGTTGGACAATTTCCATGAAGCAACAGAAATATGGTTCTGATAAATACCAATATCATGAACAGAACATGAGAAATGAGGACATCATAAAAATACACACAAGAAAATTTATAGTTAAATTGAAAAAGAGTTGAAGTTTCAAGAACACATGAGGAAAGAAGACCTAGAGAATTTAACACTCGCAAAGCAAAAGAAGCTGAGGAAAACAACAAATAACCAATTTGAGTGTATGAATGGATGGAATGAAGTAAAAAGAGTGAAAAAAGAATAGAGAAAAAAAATCCCAAATTTTGTATATCAATTTTACCTATTGACATTTACTGCAGGAGAAAGAAAAAAAATCCCAAATTTTGTATATCAATTTTACCTATTGACATTTACTGCAGGAGAAAGAAAAAAAATCCCAAATTTTGTATATCAATTTTACCTATTGACATTTATTGCTGGATAGAGAAATAAATGAGCATGCTATAAACAGAAAGCACACAATTGAGCATCTGTAAAAAAAATCCAATTAACACATTTTGTTTCATATTTGCTATGCAGTGAATAGCACAAAGTTTATGCATTCCTTTTACCTTTCAGTGCATGTACAGCTGCTTTGACAGATTCCATAGAAGATTTTCCATCTGGGCTGCTCTCTGTGGAAGGAAACATGGCACAGAACTGATAGAAAAAAAGGTATTTGCAACAAAGTGCATCTTATGGTCAAGTAAGCAATTAACTCTTGGTCAGCAGCAAAGTGAGGAAGTGAAAAGGGAAAGTGCGGAAATTAAGTCGATAACAACCTACCGTTTCTTAATTATGAATATTGTTTATTATTGAGGAGAGGAACATTTCACTATACAATATATAATTTTCTTGGTTTACCAACTCCTAAAGATTATGATTTGAAGATTTCTATCATGTGCTGATTAGCAAGCCTATTTCAAAAGGCAATTTATTAGTATAGCGAGCTTAATTCTCACTAGTTGCCCCCTACAATAAAGCCTTGTACTTAACTACTGTATAAAAACAATGCATGTCAAGTACTAATACAATAAAATCCACTTATATAAGTGCTGATCAGCCTTGATCATGAGTAATTTTTTTTTCATTGTTGCTCAGAACTGTTTAACTAAAAAATAAAAATTTTATAAGCCTTTACTTTTTGAAGAGTGACCTTCATACATATAACATATTTAAATTCCTTTTACTTAATTCCTAACAAAAAAATTACATTTCAATTGTTTTAATGATAAAGTGCCTTTTTCAGTAAGCACAAAACAATTGTTCAAACTATTTGTTGCTTAGCTATTCTTTCACTTTAAGACTTTTATGACAATTGGTTTGTTTCTTTTTAAGATATTATGGATTTGGCTTAATTCTAGGTATGACTAGGTATAAGAACTAACCAATAAAATTATAAGTACTTGTAAAATCCTTGACACTAAAAATCTGTATTTTCAGTAATGATTTATCAGAAAAACTTGTTAAATATATCTTTAAAGAGTACTGTAGTTTGACAAAGGAGAAAAATGCAGGTTTTGGTGATTATATCTACATCAGATCTGACATTTACTTATACGGTTAATTTTTTATGCAAATTAGCTGAAAAAATTTTTTCTTCAGTCATTCAGAAATCTCTATAGGTTTAAAGGCAAGTAAAATTTTAATTGCTTTGAAAAAATTACATACAAAATATAATTGTACAGTGAGATTTTTGTATATCAATATACAGTCATATGAATAATTATAAAATTTATGTTAAACTAAATTTAACATATATATTCATATTTTCTTCAATATCGGTCTACAATAACTACACAAGTATAATCTATTATATAAAGTTCAGTTTAAATATTGGTTGGGCATGTGTGTATAAATGTGTGAAAATGTAATATGAAAAATATAATTTTATATCTACTAGCATGTTTTACATCTTCATCAGGCCGAGAATTCTTCTCGGATTCTCCTGACTTGTTCCTTCCAACCATTTCTGTCAGATATCTACTGTCAGCATGTTCTCCAGAGTCATCTACAAGTTGGTCAATGTAGATATGATGAAGTCTTCCAACTGATCTTTTGCCACACAATAGGTTCCATAGGAGGGTGTCACTCACAAGTTCTGACTTAACTTCTCGAGGAGTAACCAGCTGGCCAAAGCCTTCTCTCTCTTAGTGAAACTGAGATAGGAGGAAGGTGTCCATACAGGCATTTCTTTGTTGGGTGTTTCTTCCAGCTGATGTCCAATGCAACTTGTAACATCCTAGTGTATGTTCTGTCAAGTGATGCTTTTTGGTGTTTCATTAGTGTCCATGTTGTTACAAAAATAATAACAGATATAGATTATGCAAATGACCTTGCCTTGTTGTCAGACACAATTGATAAGGCCACCAAACTTCTTCATCTCATCAAAGAAGCAGCCAGCAAGATTGGTCTCTCCATTAATGCTGGCAAAACAAAATTTATCAGATACAACCAAGAAGGAGAAATTAAGTTAAAAAATGGCAACAATATCAAATCAGTCCAGGAATTTGTTTACCTTGGCAGCAACATCCAGTCAATGGAGAGAGACATCAAAATCTGCAAAGGTAAGGCCTGGGGTGTCCTTGATGGTCTGAGCACCATCTAGAAGTTCTTCTCTGACAATCTTAAGACGGACTTCTTTAAGGCCACAGTAGAATCTGTCTTCCTCTACAGCTCAACAACATTTTACATCTTACCTAACTTAATGGACTTAATGAATTTGTATATTCCATTACAGAATGCAGAGGATAGATTGCCTTTGTGTGAATTTTGGATATAAGACCAAAATTGCACAAAGCCAACAGGGGTAGTTGGTGGGGGGGGTATAAGGAATTCTGAAGCATTCATATGCTTCCCATGTCCAAGTTCGATAGGCAGGCTAAGACCACACATGATGGGACATGTTAAGCTAATGAGCTGGCACACATCCTCTTGAAGTTCTTTCTCTGACTGCCCCTGATAATCAATACTACTACTACTACTACATCTGTCTCTCTTCTCTAATAAAATGATTAATAAAAAGAAACCCATTTTTATTGATACTGTCTATGAAGTAGCACTGGGGTCAGAGGGCCGAAGTCAGTGATGATATGGAATGCAACAATTCAGTTTTAAAAACGATTTTTTTAAAAATAAATTATTTTCTAGTAAGGTCTTTTGTGATTTTTGTAGATAATTATTTTACTGATGGTTTATACAACTAAATTACTTAGTTATTCAAATAAAATCATTTTCTACCATGAAAGTAGTAATCACCCAGTTCTACTTGGAAGTAAAGTATTTTGCAATATTGTATTTTGAAAGTCTAACAAATATTATAAATTATAATATTAAATTATTCTGATTATGAGATAAAGAACTAACAAAATATTTAAATCTCTCAAATGGCTTTAATTACAAGAATTTTGCTAATACTACTTTATAAAATATGCAAATCTATTAAAGAAATGACTTCATAGTGAAGCAAAATAGAAGAAACTTTACCTATGCAGTTCTAATTATATATATATATAATTGACAGAAATACATTTAAAAAAGTTAAGTGCTTATAACTATTGTTTTTAATAAAAAACTCTCAGAAGAAAGAAAAAATGAACTATAGTAACTCTGAGTCCTTTCAGATGTTCTGCAAAAAAAAATCATTTTTTTGCACTTGGAAATTTAAACAGGAATTAAAAAATAATAATAGTATTAAAGTTGTAATATATCTTCAATTATGACACTTTTTTTAAACTTAAATTTTTATTAGTATTCTATTTACTAATTAGTTAGTTTTCATCAAAACTATGTCCATCAGTAAATAGCAAAGATCAGAAAAAAAAATAAGTGAAACTAAAATTTATTCTTTATTCCTAATTAATGCTGTTTATTAATGGCTGTAACAGACTGCTGGTTGTTGCAATGAAAAACAAACATACATACTAGTCTTTAAATTAATAATAATTAATACTACCAAAGTAGTAGGTAATATATAAGAAAAAAAAAAGACAGGATAAAAAATAATTGTCATTTTGCTCTGATACATTAAAAAATGACATTTTAAAAACAGACATTCAGTTATTTCAGTATGCCTAAATATTTTAAATACACAAAGAAAGTGGTGAAAAATTCTCAATTGGGTTGAAAATTTTTAGTACCACCTTATGCAAACTAAGTAAGCTCTTAACTCAAACTATTCTTTGTTTAGTTTACACATGTATAACTTGTTTATATATTTAATGTATTTCTAGATACATAAGATCATAGAAGTAAATTATAGTTTAAACTTTATTACATAGTGATTTTACAATTGTAATTTTACTACTGGGTGAGGCACCTAATTTATAGTTTGTATCTAAGAAAAGAGGAAAAGAAAAGTAAAAGGGAAGCAAGAAAAGAAATAGAGACAGACCAACATAAATACCAAGAACATAATTTTGTACAATGACTATATTCATATGGATAACATGTTTAAACAAAGGACTGGTGCAAATATGAAATCCTTTTATATCATATACACATACACACACACACATGATGGTGCCAAAAAGATCTAAACTCAACCAGGAAGCTAAATCAAATCTGATGTTTGAAATTAAGCCAAATTTTTGGACATTGGCTAAGTTTAGAACTTTTCAGCACTACTACCTGTGTGTGCATGTGTGTGTGTGATGAAATTAACAACAAAATCACAAAAAAAAAAAAAAATAAGTGCATGAACAGCAATCTCAATATAAAATTAAAAACAAACAGTGGAAAGAACAATGATAATAAAAATGTGAAAGATGACTGACAAAATTAATAGTTAAGTAGTGAAGTTTAAATTAAATGAAAAAAGTGGAAAAAAAAAAGAAAAATGTAAAACTCCAACAACAAAAAAGTTACATACAGTGAATTAAATATACAATTCTAAAATGAAAAGTGTATAACAAAGGGAAATAATAAAATAACAAAAGCAGAATAAAGACAGACACAGAGAGATGGGGAACATACAGAGAGAGAGAGAGAGAGAGACACGGACAGAGAGAGAGATGGGGAACATACAGAGAGACGGACAGACACAGAGAGTCACAGAGAGAGAGTCATGGGGAGAGTCACAGAGAGAGAGAGAGTCACAGAGAGAGAGAGAGTCACAGAGAGAGAGAGAGAGAGAGAGACAGAGAGAGAGAGAGAGAGAGACAGACAGACAGACACAGAGAGATGGGGCGGACACGGAGAGACACGGATAGAGAGAAACAGATAGACACGGATAGAGAGAAACAGATAGACACGGATAGAGAGAAACAGATAGACACGGATAGAGAGAAACAGATAGACACGGATAGAGAAACAGAAACACGGATAGAGGATAGAGAAAACAGATAGACACGGATAGAGAGAAACAGATGAACACGGATAGAGAGAAACAGATAGACACGGATAGAGAGAAAACAGATAGACACGGATAGAGAGAAACAGATAGACACGGATAGAGAGAAACAGATAGACACGGATAGAGAGAAACAGATAGACACGGATAGAGAGAAACAGATAGACACGGATAGAGAGAAACAGATAGACACGGATAGAGAGAAACAGATAGACACGGATAGAGAGAAAACAGATAGACACGGATAGAGAGAAACAGATAGACACGATAGAGAGAAACAGATAGACACGGATAGAGAGAAACAGATAGACACGGATAGAGAGAAAACAGATAGACACGGATAGAGAGAAACAGATAGACACGGATAGAGAGAAACAGATAGACACGGGATAGAGAGAAACAGATAGACACGGATAGAGAGAAACAGATAGACACGGATAGAGAGAAACAGATAGACACGGATAGAGAGAAAAACAGATAGACACGGATAGAGAGAAACAGATAGACACGGATAGAGAGAAACAGATAGACACGGATAGAGAGAAACAGATAGACACGGATAGAGAGAAACAGATAGACACGGATAGAGAGAAACAGATAGACACGGATAGAGAGAAACAGATAGACACGGATAGAGAGAAACAGATAGACACGGATAGAGAGAAAGAGAAACAGATAGACACGGATAGAGAGAAACAGATAGACACGATAGAGAGAAACAGATAGACACGGATAGAGAGAAACAGATAGACACGGATAGAGAGAAACAGATAGACACGGATAGAGAGAAACAGATAGACACGGATAGAGAGAAACAGATAGAGAGAAACAGATAGACACGGATAGAGAGAAACAGATAGACACGGATAGAGAGAAACAGATAGACACGGATAGAGAGAAACAGATAGACACGGATAGAGAGAAACAGATAGACACGGATAGAGAGAAACAGATAGAAATGGACAGAGAGAGAGTCAGCCAGCCATAGGGAATCATGGATAAATTTATTAATTTAAATTAATATTTACTCATATTCTAACAGATGTTAATCAGTAATAAATTGCTAGTACAGCAATATGTAATATATAAAATGTAAAAAAAAAAACAAATGGTTGAATACTAAGGACAAAAACGCAAATTTTTCTTAGTTTCAGTTGATAAACGATGAAAGATACAACTGTCAAAAGTACAGTGCTGCAATAAGTCCATGAATTTTGTGAAAATTCTTTTTGAAAAACTAAGTTCAAGTATAGCAACTTCTCAGACAATAATAAAAAAAAAGTATTATAAATCACTATAATTATCTTTAGGCTGTGGATACTTTCTGTTAAAAAAAAGTTGGTGGGAACTATAAGTAGAGTTAGAAAGACTGAATAAAATAATTTTAAAAGCATACTTTTAATAAAAGCTTAAAAATAAAAATAAAAAATAATAATTCTGCAGATGCCTATACATATTTTTATATAAATTTATGCATGCATGCACTGTTTTTTATAAATGAAAGCAGAAGCGCGGCAAGCGACAGAGCCCAGACCGAGAGAGCGGCAAGCGACAGAGCCCAGACCGAGAGAGCGACAGCGACAGACCCAGACCGAGAGAGCGGCAAGCGACAGAGCCCAGACGAGAGGCGGCAGCGACAGAGCCCGACCGAGAGCGAAGCGACAGAGCCCAGACCGAGAGAGCGGCGACAGAGCCCAGACCGAGAGCGACAGCGACAGAGCCCAGACGAGAGAGCTGACAGCGACAGAGCCCAGACGAGAAGGCGACAGCGACAGAGCCCAGACCGAGAGGCGACACAGAGCCCCGACCGAGAGAGCGACAGCGACAGAGCCCAGACCGAGAGAGCGACAGCGACAGAGCCCTAGACGAGAGCCGACAGAGCCCAGACCGAGAGAGCGGCAGAGCCCAGACAGAGAGAAGCGACAGCGAGCCCAGACCGAGAGACAGCGACAGAGCCCAGACCGAGAGAGCGACACAGAGCCCAGACTGAGAGAGCCCAGACCGAGAGAGCGGCAAGCGACAGAGCCCAGACCGAGAGAGCGGCAAGCGACAGAGCCCAGACCGAGAGAGCGGCAAGCGACAGAGCCCAGACCGAGAGAGCCCACACTGAGAGAACAGCATAAATTTTATCAAATTAAATGAAGACAGAAGTGTAATTACTGAAAATTTTTCAATTTGACCTACTTCTCAATGTCTAGCCAAATGAACAGACATCAGAATTTTTTTTTTGTTTTATCCTTTTTAGGTTGGGTCGAGTTTTTTAAGCACCCTCTCATATAATCATTAGGAACTGTAATATTTAAATAAAATAAACCATGAAAATATATAGTATTTGAAGGATTTTAAGCTAACTTATAGGAATGTTTGTGTGTATGCATCATGCTATCTAAAACTAACATTTTAAAAAAACAATTGCAGTGGAGTAAGTATTTTGTCATATCATCAATACTCAAATAATTTCACATTTTCTCTCATATTCTATGCAAATGTATATTAAGTACTTAAGACAAATAAGATTTCTTACTGGGAAATTCCACAACAAATGATCCAGACCATGTCACCCAACCCTCTTGGATTTCTTTGATTTTTTTCAACAAATATAAGTATGGCTAAAAGAAAATCCTGAAAATTTCAATGCCTAATTCCCAGCGATTTTAAAATTATCACATTTTTATGATTTGGCTTTTTTAGTATGTCATGAAGAAAAATCCACCATTTTATAAATGTTTGCATAATCTTTAGAGTTCTAGATAAGCTTTAGTACTAAAAGTTGGTAACAGAAAGTCAGACAATTTCTGGTATATTCCACCTATCATGACAAGGTGTGACAAGATGAATGAGTATTTCACACTTTTCTTTTTTTTTTTAATACATAATAAACGTCATCTGAACCCAAACTGAAGTTTAGTCATTCTCCAAAATAACACGCTTAAAAATCTGATTTTTCTTTCAAATAATCTGCCAATTCACCTATTGAATTCTAACCACTTTAAATATGGTTTACCTACATTTGTTGAAAAAAAAAAAAAAAAAAAAAAAAAAAAAGGGAGTAAATCATCCCACATTATTTTTCTTAGAGTGATTTCAGATAGATTTAACCTACTGTTATATGTGAGTTTCACTTTGATACAAATATTTTAAAATATTAACAACAATTTTTCTAAGTGGATTTTTTGTATTTTTTTTTTTTTTTTACAATTCAAATATTATTTTGTAATTAAAATATTTAAATAAAAAAAGAAATAACAAGTAAATCTATGATGGATGTGTGATCTCATACCCCACCTCCTCCACACTTTTTGTTTTTTTTTACTTAGGGTGATTTCCGATAAATTTAACCTACTGTATGCAAGTTTCACTATGATACATATTTTAATATGTATCATTAAAAATATTAAATATCATCAAGAATTTACCAACAAAGCTTTTTCCCCCCCACTTTAAATGTTATTTTATAATTAAAAATATTTTATAAAAAAAAAAATATGGATATATACACCAAATGCAAGATAATACCTACATTGTACGGGAGACCAAGAATTAGATGCCCATAGCAAAATCTAACAATTTCATCAGCCTGCCTTACCTCTCAGCGCTGGTGAATCAGCAGGTGATGAACTTTTACTGGTTGTTCGACTAGCAGTACCAGTTGCACATTGTACAAATGTTATACCACCTATTCCACTGTCTGAGTTATTGCTACCAGACCCACCTGGAGATGATGGTGGCTTTCTTTGAGGGGAAGAAGAATCTGCCTTCAAAATTTCCTCTTCCACAGGGTAGTCAGATTCCATGGCACCTAGAACAAAAAATGTGGAGTTGTATATATGAATAAAAGATGACATATACACACCTTTTCTCTCAATATACAGTGTAAATTTATTTATTCATACACATTTTATTTATATATATATATATATATATATATATTTGAAATATATATATATTAGAACTGTGTAGAACTGTGTAAAAAAAAACATATTTCAAATCAATTAATTTATAATATTAATGCTTTGTAAATTTACATTGAGCACTATTTTGTAAAAATAAAAATATCTATAAGAACACCGGATTATATATCTTGCTGTTCTTTCTTTTTATTTACACACACACACACAGGGTGTCCTAAAATAATGTTTAAATATTGATAGTTAATAATACATTACCATGATGTGAGAACTTATATGGACGAAAATATACAAAACAGATGGATTGGAAGAAGAGGGACAATTGAATACATATCCACCTAGACTTTTTGCGGGTGTTTCTAAAAGATAAAGTTTACAGCAGGAAACCTGAAACAATTGCTGAAATGAGAGTAGCAATTAAAGAAGAATGTGCTCAAATATGAGTGGAAATGATATTGGATGTTTGTAGGTCTATTTCTTCAAGATATGAAAAGTGTATTGAACAGAATGGCAACACATTTGAGCACTTGATGTGAGTGTCATCATTATAAGAACATTCTGCCATTGCCCCAAGTAGCTTTTATCTTATTAAAGTTAATTTTCTATGTTTTTTGTATATTTTACCCTCAAATTCATTAAATGTGGATTCTTTCTATTATATTAATCTTATTTACAAGTCTAAATACATGAATAAGTTATAATGATTCAAAGAGTGTGTACATTATTTTGGGATACCTATATATATATATATATATATATATATATATATATATCTAACCCCACAGACTGCTTCACAGCTCTTCAGTGTGGCTAAATGTCTGGTTGACTCTACCTAGGATCGAAACCCAACTGAATTGGTGGCAGTCAGAGATTCTATATTCATATATATATATATATATATATATATATATATATATATATATATATATATATATTTTATTTTGAACAATAAAAAATATCAAAAAAATTAAAATCTTCAGACACACTGGGTTGTACATTAATATTCTTTCATTTTTTTTATTATTATTTCATTTAGATTCCTCGACTAGTTTCGGCCAAAATGGCCATCATCACACACACACATATATATATATATATATATATGAAGATTCATACTGTCGGATCTATATCCATATATTTGCTTATATATATATATATATATATATATATATAGTTGTTCACATTTTTATAATCTTGTAAATATAAAATTAAATTAAAATAACTTTTTAAAATAATAAAAATTACAAAAGGAATATACAATAATAGCAGTGTCAAGAGAAAAAAAAAATTATCTTTTGATTTTATTTTTTCATTTGTTAAACTTTACCAGATACTTTATCATTTAAATCATAGATTAAGTGAAATATCATTTACCTGGAACACTGGCTATACAAAGTATGTGAGATGATGTTACTCTAAATGCTTCTAAAACATCTCCAGGATTATTGGCATCAATGACTGTGACTCTACTGGATGACTGGGTACTTGTACAAATCCATACTAAAGATGACAATTGTTCTTTTTCTGTCTGTTTTAAATTCTTTTCATGCTCCTTAAGAAAGAATATAAAGGAATGCAACTAAATGTTTAAAAAAAAAAAAAAAAAAAAGAAGGACTTACTGTATATTTCCACGCAAAGAAGACTTTAGATAAGATGAGATCAAAAAATATAGCAAATTTTTCATGAATTTATCCTATACCTGTAGTATAAGATGACTGCTTATTGATTATATAAAGATGATGTTATTGGAAATGTTGTTACTTACTGTATCCTTAAAAATTCAAAATAAAGTAACAAAAATCAATTCTATATCATGTTTTTCCTACATGTGCCTTAAAAGGGATACCATTGTTGTTTACATTTCATTATGTCATCTCTTATGAATACTGATTTTTCTTCCTCTTTTCCTCTTACTAAACAGAAATATCAAAATGATAATGAATTTTTAATTTTTTTTTTATTTGATAATGTTTTCATGTATGTTATTGGTTATCACACTGAGGCCAAGTTTAGCCTATTGACAAACATCACTCAGAATTTAAAGTTTCTTTTCTTAGAATTGTAGCATAAGATGACCCCCAATTTTTAAGGGTGATTATTTTGTGATTTAAAGGTCACCTTATTACATGGAAATGTACAGTAATTCATAATAATTAAGAACAAAAATTTATAGTGTAAAATAAATTAATATTTACAAAGTATTTGCAGTTTATGAATGTTGCACTTTAAAAATTTAGAGTTTCAAGCTTTTTTTTTTTCCTAAAATCAATGAAACATTTAATTTAAATTTTTCATTTACACAGTTAAGTTTCCATTAAGTTAACCTTTTGAACTTCAGATGAAGGGAATTTCCATCATGACTGTTTTGTAGCTCAGCAACAAATGGCAGAAATTTCTGTCCCATTCAATGGAGTTGATTTTCTGTGTTATTTATTTTCAATATTATTATTAAATTATTTGAAAATGTTTTGTCAATAGTCACTTTTCTAACAAGACAAACCACAATATTTCAAAAGCTTACTATATTATAACTAAAGAAAACAATGTAGTTAATTTGGGTTTAATTTTTCTGACATGGTTTATAAATCTAAGCTAAAAAGTACATTACCAATAATAGTATACATTTATGTTCAGTAGTTTAATAAAAATATACATTTTACATACTTTTAATTCTTCATTTAATTTCTCAATTTCATCCTTTGTTTCTTTTCTTTTTTCTAATTCTTCTGATGGGGGATTTGAGTAGAAGACACTGGCCCCAACAATAGATCCCCCATCCTTTGTTCTACCACCGGTCAGATTTACACCAGCTGCACACCAAATCTGAAAAGTTAACAGATTCATTCATTTAGGATTTAACAAAAAATAAAACAGTAAACTTATCTTTCTCTTTTTTTTAATGTGATCAATACAAATAAAAGAGAAACTAATCCACCCATTTTATTATATCAAAAACAAAATTTAGAATGGTGATTTAAAATTTCTAAGATGTAAGTTAAAATTTCCACATATTTATTATTTTTATTACTCCTAAAAGCAGATTTAGATGTAATATTCCATAAGAACAAAGTAAAATATTATACTTGTAATTAGTACTTAAAAATTGAAACTTTGTATTATTTAAAAAATTTTTGTTAAAAATAATCTAAATAGTTTCTCTGCACAATATTCATAACCTTGCAGCAGTCATTTTGATAATAGTTGTACTTTTATATTTGATGATTTTAAATCTAATTCTCAAATATTAATTTTATTTTCATCTCTTTCAATAAACAATTCTTGTATGCTTAGAATCACAATTTACATTTTTCCTTCCATTTTTAAAGCATAAAACAAATTATAAGCAAGATTGCATTTCATCTGTTATGTGTCTTGACAAAGTTCCATTGAAATGAACAAGATAACTAAGCTTGAAATCTGACTTATATGTAAATGTCAAGAGTGTGAGCTATCTTGTGAAGAAAAGCATAATCATGGCCTTATTGGATTTGGTTAGTTTAATAAATTCTTTTCATAACTCAATACAAGTTTAATTTTCAAATTCACAAGATGAAAGCACTCTAAACATCAATGTTTACAGTCAAATATTTGATTATAAGATAGTATAACACAAAAATTGTATAAATTTTCTATTGGAGACTAATATTTACAAAAAATGTTTGGACAAAGACATAATAGTGAGAACTGTATAATTTAAAATGTTTATTAAAATACCAATATTTAAAATTCAACTGAGTCTTTTCAAAGTTTTTATGTTTAGTTTCCTATCAAAACTAGATCATATTAGAAAATCATATACATATCTTTGTAGGTTTTCATAAATTTAGCCAAAAATAATTTTCTAGGATAATTTAAATAGTTGATTTATAAAAAAAATATTCCAGATAAAATTTAAAATAATAAATAACATTGAAAAAGATTGTAAATTATTCATGAATTAAAAGGATACCTACTTATTCTATTTATCTGTTTTTCATTAACTTTTGGCATTAGATTAATATGTTATATATATATATATATATATATACACACATCAACAAAAATTTCGCTTGAAGATGGAACGACCCATTTTACTTTCAACTCAATTTAATTTAAAGGATTATATTGAAGTTTTTGGCTCTTGTTTTGAAACATGAGACCTCTTATGTAGCGATTTGGAATCATATTTTTTAAATAAATAATTATATATATATATATATATATATATATATATATATATATATTTTTTATTTGGAGCATCAGATCATTATTCAAACATATATTGTTAAATAAATATAACAGACAATGAATGTCTATTATTTTTGATCATGAGCTGTTCTAAGTTTTGTATAGTTGCTTTAATTTCAGGAGAAAACAAAGTCCAACATGAGCCATCATCAGAGCAGTTAAAAAGTTAACCAATAACACCACCTCCCAACTTAAAAACCATATGAAACTTAATGCTAACAATGCTGAAACAGGATCTTATAAACTTCAGAAGATTATAGGTGACTATCAACCTGGTTACCTTTATGGAAATGTAAAAATCCATAAAAAAAAAAAGAAAGAAAGAAAAAAGATCATCTCCTCTGACCTATCATTTCACAAATACCTACACCAGTATATTACCTTTAAAAAACCCATAACAAATTAATTACTCCCTACCTCCCAAGTAATATTGTATAAACTCCACAAATGAATTTATACAAATTCTTCATGCAGTAAAACCAAACAATCAAAGTGCACCTTTGGATGTACAAAATTTATTTACTAATGTCTCCGTCCATGAAACAATAGACATCATTATCCATGATGTATACAATCACACTTTTCTCCCACCTATCAATATTAAACCCATTATTTTGAAAAAATTATTAGAATGTACCACTCAAGTACCTTTTTATGACCCCCTAGGTAATATTTATACTCAAGTAGACTATTGCAATGGGATCTTTTTAGGCCCCCTTTTTTCTAATTATTATAATGCACATTTAGAAAATACTTAATGACACTAATAAATCCTCTATATATGTAAGATACATAAATGACATTTTCGTTTTAGCTAAAAATATTGATCACATTACACAACTTAAAAACAAATTTAAAAGTCACTGTCCTCAAATTTACACTAGAACTTAATATTAATAAAATTACATAAATTTATTACTTCTCCATATAGAAAACCCAGTAGCATTCACTTGTGCCTTAGTGAATGTCCCCAATGATATAAGTTAGCTGTTATAAAATCACACACAAATGATGTCTTTTTCTAAAACCATATTCTATAAATAATTACATAACATTAAGCAAACACTTCTTAATAATGGATTCCCTAATTCCGTCATTGATCAACAAATTAAAATGTATCTCAAACTCAATTATAACTCTAACAAAATTGATAATATTAATAATTGTAACCATAATAATATACTTCAAAATAAACATAATACTATTAACTTATACTATTGTAACCAAATGCATGATAATTACAAACATGATGAAACAACACTCAAAAACATAATAGGTAGAAATGTTAAACCCATTAATAATAATAAACAAGTTAAGCTCATCATATATTATGAAAAATTTAAAACAGTTGACCTCATTTTCTCTAATAACCCTACAACCACACAACAAAATCCTCTACAAAAAAACCAATGCAGTGTACCAATTTACATGCCTGTTCAGAGATTTTATCTGATACTAATAAACCCACCACATATATTGGTTTTACTACAACTATGCTCTCCCATAGACTTACCTGTCCCCTTTCTGATCTTAGTTCTATTAAACAATATTTCTTAAAAAAAAAACATAGCCATGTGCATAATATTAGATAGATATTATTTGATAACACAAAAATACTCACATATATACACAGTAAAAAGAACCTTCAGAAATTGAAGATTTTAAAACAAAGCAACCCACACTCAACAAAATTAAATTTCAAACTAGCCACAACACATTAAATTGCATCTAAACATATGGTTCTGTTGTTATTATTTCAGTCTCTCATGTGGTACGTCATAGAACCACATTACGAATTTATGAACTATGTCTGCTATTCCACAACTGTTATCATCACATAGCAACTTCTATGTAAACATAACAGGATATCATCTTTGATAGTGAATATCTTTGTTGAAATGTCCATATAACCACTCTGATGATGGCTTATGTGAGCTGAAAGCTTAGATCAAAGAACAGCATAAAATAATATCCAAATGTTGGACAGTTTTTGTCTTTATTTTCTCCCAAAATTAAAGCAACTATACAAAGCTTATAATGGCTCATAATCAAACATAATAGACATTTGTTGAAGGTTATATATATATATATATATATATATATATATATAATGTTGGTTTAAACCATACCTAAAAAATGGAGATGGAGGGGGGATTTTACCCATAAGCAGAAAAAAAAAAAAATTGGTTAAAATATTATTCCAACAAAATCCTATCACCACTTACTTTTAATCCAGGCTCTTTTTCTAACAAAGGTCTACAGTACACTGGTACTGGAACTGGCACATGGCTTTTGTTGGGAAGTTCCCGTGGAATAGTAGGTTGAAATTTTGCAGGGAGGCTCCAGCCATATGCCTGCATTCTTCCATCATCTTTTTTGACATGAACTCTTACTTGTTTATATTGTTCCCATCTTTCTCTTTCCTTCTCCTTCTTTGTTTTCTCAGAAATACTAAAGGGAAAAAAAAAAAAAGAAAAAAGCATATTTTTAAAAAGTATTTAAAAGTAAAAAATATAACTTGCAAATTTAAATTTATACGTTTAAAAAAGTATTTTCAAATTAACGTCACCTAACTTAAAAAAATTTTGCTTTTAAAAATTAAAAAATGTTCCTTTAATCATGAAAAAAAAAATCCAGTTGCATTTTCCAATTATATCCAAGGAAGAGAAAGGGCGAGGGGAGAGAAAGGGCAAAGAAAAAAAAAAAAAGAATTTAAATATATCTTAATATAATATATATATATATTAATATAAATATATCTTACCCTTCATCTTGCAAAAATTCATATGCTTTAGCTTTTTCACCTAAGTTGTACTTGCTGCGTTGTTTTTTATTAGGGTCTCCGACTGGCTGAACATGAGTGGTTGGAGCGTTGTATCGTACGGTGGCAACAGGTTTTTTGCTAGGCTTATTTGAGGAGTTGAACAAATTGCTAAAACTATACAAAAAGAAAAATATAGACAAAATAAAAGGTTATAATTACATGGAGACCAAGAACAAAGTCTCCTTGATACAAAACCAGTGGCCATTTTTACAACTCACAGAATTATAAATATTGACAATTTTAATCCAATAAATGCATCACAAAATTCATTAATAGTTTGTAATAAATATCTTTTAAAATTGAGATCATTCTTCTATCATTCTCAGTTGATTTCTTTCAAACTGACTAAATATTAAATACACTCACACACATTTTATTTTATGTACAGTACTTAGTGGAAAGTGCTCAATATCAGTGATAGAGCTAACATATTCAGTTGTATGAATATGAGTTTGTGCACCTAGCCTTGGATTGTTTATATGGATGTATTTGTGTGAACTAAAATGCATACACCTGTGTGTGTGTGTGTGTGTGTGTCTATATGTATGAACATATCATCCCAAACAAATGCAGAAGTAAATTCCCCCTCCCATCACCAAACAGAATCAAACGAGCATAAATAGATCCAATTTAAAAAAATAAACCAGTTTGTCTGATGATAGCAAAAGCGTGAAACCCAAGGTCACAAACTCATATCCATACAACTAAAATGATGTATAATTTTTATATATCAACAAACAGTATTTAGAAAATATATGAAAAACTGAAAGTTTTTTTTTTGATGTGTTTCATTCAATAAAATCTTAACAGATGAAGCATGTCACAAAAAAAAATTCCATTTGTCAGTTTGTCATATATATATATATATATATATATATATATATATATAATACAAATAAATAAATGTAAATTGTCATTCAGTTGATTGATGCTATATATGCCGCACACTGGGATTGCCTCCCCAGGCTGATGACATCAAGATGTTACCTTCCTGACAAATTGATCCCAAAGTGAGAATCAAACACAGGACTCATGGTCAGAAAGTGAACAATCTACTTGTCCATGTGCCCACCTTTGGAAGTTGCCTGGAAAGCACACCATGGGTTGATCTAAGCTTTGTGAGTGAAATTGGGTAGACTGAACTGATTGGAAGCTGTCGATGGTTAGCACAAAATCTGAAGTCAATATGACTGAGGGTTTGAGCATACTGGCCTTGTTCAAAATCAGGTTATCATGCCAGACTATATGCTCTTTCCCAGAAACTGTAACTAAGATCTGCTCAGCATAATTGCAGTATAAACCAGAATTGGGCTCAGTTTGTGTTGAATAAGCACAAATGTGTCTGAATAGGAATATGTGCAATAGGAACTGGTTAACTGCCTTAGCAGATAAGTGTGATTAGAAAATGAGAAGTGTACTTAGAAAATGAGTAGTCAGCTCATTATTTATATATATGAATTTAGGAAAATTTGGTAACTATGAAATAAAAGTTGGCTGAAAATTGAGAGCCACTCAGGGCTAAGTCTCTCCACTCCCCTATATCTTTAAATAACTGAAATTCGTGGGTCCAGATAACATCCCACTACAACAATACCAAGGGCTTACTTGCAGAAGGTGAGTTTAGGGGTCCAGGGCCCCCTTCCCCAATCTAGATAAAACTCCACTACAACAATACCAAGGCTGTACTTTCTAGAGGGAACTAGAACACCCATCCACCCCACAAGATTAAATAAGTATTAACTAAAAAAATTTCAGTCTAGATAAAACCCCACTGTAGCCATACCAAGACAGTACTTTCAGGCTGGGGGAGGGGCTAAGCCCCCCCCCTCCAATATTTTAAAATAAATATTTTTTTTTAAATAGATATTTAATTACTATAGTCTGCTGTTTTCAAGCAAATAAAATTGATTTATCTAAATTAAAGATAAGTTCTTGTATCTTCTTTTCAAATTATTTTAATAAAAAAAGTAGTAGCCCCCAAATCCCCACTCCAGAATGACCCTAAAATCAATTTTCAGTAGAGTTTTATTTCATAGTTACTGAATTTTCCGGTATATATATATATATATATATATATATATATATATATATATATATATATATATATATATATATAGTATTAGGGCAGCAAATCATTATTTAAACATTATTAAATATAACAGATAATGAATGTCTATTATATCTGATCATGAGCCATTATAATGTTCAAATATTTGCTTTAATTTCTAGTGAAAATAAAGACAAAAGTTGTTCAACATTTGGATATTTTTTATTATTAAGTTGGTCCTAATCTTTCAGCTCACATGAGCTATCCTTTTATAGTGGTTATACAGATATGAAACAAAGATATTCACTGTCAAAGACATTGGTTCTGTTGTAATTCTTTGGTCTATCACATGGCATGACGTCAGAGAAACACATCTTGAACTTACAATCTGCGTCTGCTATTCCGCAACTGTTATTGTTGCATAGCAATTTTCTATGTCAAAATAACAAAATATCTTTGACGGTGGACATCTTTATTTCATGCCTGTATAACCACTCTGAGGATGGCTCATGTTAGCTGAAAGCTTAGGACCAATTTAATAAAAAAGCATTCAAATGTTGGACAATTTTTGTCTTTATTTTCACCAGAAATTAAAGCAAACATTCGAGCAGCTCATGATCAGGCGTAATAGACATTCATTGTATGTTATATTTAATAATATATGGTATCATATATATATATATATATATATATATATATATATATATATATATATATATATATATATATATATATATTCTCTTCCTATTCTTATTGCGTAGATTATTCAGTCCTACTCTTTAACTGATAACTGTGGAGAGAAAAAAAATGAATACATGTCTTTTCCAAATGTATTTGCACATAAGCAAATGATTTGACTTGAAATTTGAACTTGGCTCTTTGATTTCTCATTCCAAGCCACTATCCATTATAACACCCACACCATATATATATATATATATATATATATATATATATAAAGAAATATATATATATAAAGTGTGTCTATATTTATGGGATAAAGTGCTCAATATCAGAGATAGAGCGTGTGTAAATATAAAAGTGAACATAGAAGTCAACACTTAGAGGCGACAGTCTGTTTCATGCTATATGCGATCGTCAGGCCACATATGCTGTTATTTTTTCTCGGCTATTTATATATATATATACGGGTTAGTGGGTATTGTGGGTATTCTATTATGGCGGTTATTTTTTACCGGAAGTCGCTTTGTTTATTTATTTGGGTCAAATTATATTGCTCGTTTTTATTTTTTTTATTTTTTTTCTTTATTTATTTATTTATTAACGTAGTAAAATTTGTTTATATCACGTATTTAACAGTTTTGTTTTGTTTTGAGAATTTAATTAAAGCTATTTGTTCAATTTTGGTGTTGGTTGTTGTAGTTCATTCTAACTATTATTTTTTTGGCAGGAAACAGTTTTTTAATTTGGGATTGGTTTGTCTATTTATTTACTTGGATGAATTTAGGTCAATTTATTTGTATATTTTCTTTTTTGGTTTTCGGTTTTAAATATAATATAGTATTTATTTTATTTTATTTTTTTTTTTTTTATTTTATTAGTGTATTTGTTTGTTTTTATTTTATTTTTTCGTTTTTCATTTTTTTTAGGTTACGTAGTAAAATTTATTTTCATGCCTGCATTTTGAGGTGAGTTCGGATCTTTTATTTAATAATTTATTTTGGTCAGGGAAAAGTAATGATAGCTATTTTTTTCCTCCAAACAAAGTTTGCAAGTTTTTGATTGGTTGTTGTAGGCTGATGACTTTTTCCTTATCTTCCAAGATATTTTTGGTGTGATGTGCGTTTTGTTTTTTATTTCCCAGATATACTTAGAAAGCATAGTACTGTTCGATATTTACTATTTGTGAACGATGTTTTGTGTGTATAATTTCTTTGCTTCCAGGGTCCTTCAGTTACTCCTATGTATACTTTTTCTTCATTATCTGGTGATTTTATCGTGGCTTGGTATATTACGTTGTTTTGTAGACAATTTCCGAAAACAAAACTGTTAAATACATGATATAAACAAATTTTTACTACGTTAATAAATAAAGAAAAAATAAAAATAAAAAAATAAAAATGAGCAATATAATTTGACCCAAATAAATAAACAAAGCGACTTCCGGTAAAAATAACCGCCATAATAGAATACCCACAATGCACCACTAACCCGTATATATATAAATAGCCGAGAAAAATAACAGCATATGTGGCCTGACGATTGCATATAGCATGAAACAGACTGTCGCCTCTAAGTGTTGACTTCTATGTTCACTTTTATATATATATATATATATATATATATATATATACCACACATCAGATCTAATGACAGTTTCCCTTAGGGGATAAAGGTTTAAATTCTGCCAGAGGACACATTTTCTAACAAGATTTCTTGAATATTCAGGCTGGTAAGATGTAAAAAAAAAAAAAAAATACTGTTTAATAAATAAATACAGACCATCTATTCAAATATGAGTATCTATTTCAAAAATAACATTTAAACAAATAATTTAAATAATCTGTTGGATTTAATCCATTTTTATATATATATATATATATATATATATGTTACACACACAAAGTGGAAAGATTTTGTGCAATGCTTTAGGACTTCATTAGACTAGGTTTGTTTATGTTGATGCGACTACACATAAGCACAAAATGCCTCCCACAAAAAGTTTTTCATACATCTTTCTTCTAAGATTGTTCTTGAGAGATTTTATATATATATATATATATATATATATATATATATATATATAGTTAAATGCATCTAATATTTTAAACTATATGATCATTATAAACATTTGCTAAGAAAATCTAGGTCAGTAATACCCATATATACTATTTTGTATGCAAATTCTTAATATTGTCACTTAAAGCAACATAAGTACACTTGACTTAAAGTAAGAATACTAAAAGTCAATGATTATTATCTTTATTTTTTAGAATGGCATTTTCATTTTGTTGTTTTACTTGTCACACTGGTGGAAAGGGGGCTATACAAAAATTGTTGAATCATGTAAATCTCATCAGGTCCTATCAGTACGGTTCACCATGAA